CGAAGAAGGTTCAAGGCGAGGAGGGCAAGTGATTGAAGCTGATCCACCAAGACGTCACACGCATACACACAGACTGACTCACTGACTGACTGACAGACTAACACACAGACTGACAGACAGACAGCCTGACAAACCACACCCATGTTGAGGTGTTTTGGGCTGGCCAACGATTGTTGTCGATTTGTCGACATGAGAAGACATTGCTCCGGGTTACGCGAGTCTCATCATTATCACATCGTTCTTTGGGTCATCACAGCGTTCACTCACTCACTCGGCCATGGAGGGTCTCTTTGCGTTCGTGTCTGTTGGTCAGTCTGTGTGCGTGCGTGTGGCGTCTTGGTGGATCAGCTTCAATCACTTGCCCTCCTCGCCTTGAACCTTCTTCGCCAGAAACGACGTCTGGCCACACACACACACACGCATGGATGTCTCCTCAGTCGATATTCATAGACAAGTTGTTCGTCACCTGTGTTTGGATGAAGGGCGGCTGAGCGTAGGGCGGCTGAGCGTAAGGCGGCGGCACGAACACCTGCCCAGACACATAAGTGTGCATGTGTGTGAATGCCGTGTTCATTGGCGGAGAAGTAAGGTTGGCTGTAGCATACCTGTTGCTGAGCATTGAACGGCCACGCCGCCACTTGGCCCACAGTGTTGACGACATTACCCACATTCGCTCCCGAGTTCACGGCCTCCGAGACAAGATCAGGCTGCGTCATGAAACGGGGCAGAGACGCAGCCACAGCCGCTGAGCCAAACCGGCACAAGACGAGACATGTCTGTTACGTGTGTCTCCTGTATGTCTGCGTGTGTAAGTGCTGACCTTCCTTCGGTGTGTATGCGATCTCGTGTTGGCCCTCAGGTGAACCAGCCTCAGGAACCACCGGACCTGACACACAGTGACACGGGAGACACAGCACCCGACCATGCACACAGGTGCGTGTCTCTTTTCCTGTTCAAGCTCACCTCCCTCCTCCTCTCTCGTAAAGGAGCATGCGCATTTCATCGAGTTGGGCTGCGCCGATGACTCACTCGTCGCGAGGAAGCTGGTCGCGCCGGCAGACGATGGAGAGAGCCACGCCGTGTGCACTTGGTCGTGTGCGTGGATGCCTACCAGCCTGGCAGTACACATCCGTCGCATTTATGCATGGGATTGAGCAACCAATATGGATCAATGTCTCCTCATGCCATTGCCACCGGGCCCGACAAATAGACAACAACCGTCACACCAGAAACGCCTCAACACTTCATTCTCACTCACTCTCCATGCTGCCCCTCTGTCTCTGCCTGTTCGCCTTCCGCGGCGTCAGGCTCTCCTCCCTCTCTCTCTACCCCTTCATCTCCGCTGTGCACATCCGGCACATCCTCTCCAGCTGCTGGTGCCTCATCGCGTCCCTCACCTTCCTCCGGGCCTCCCTCTTCTTGCTCATCTGCGCGTGCGGGCTCGGGCACCGCCGGCTCAGCTATCTCTGCCTCTGCGGCTTCAGGCTCACCGGCGGGACCCTCGGGAGACTCCTCTGTTTGCTCATCTTGCACCGGCGCCTCCTCAGAGGGCTGCTCGGGTGGCTGGGCGGCGGTGGTAGGTGCTGTTGCATCGACGTTTTGCGTGGCCCATTCGAGGAAGAAGGTGGTCAGGGGCTCCAGGTGAGGCGCACTCTGAATGAGATATGGATAATCCATAAATGTCGGTCGCCGTCTGCGTGGATTAATAAATTGGCCTGTATGTTATACCTCGTAGAGCTGATGGAGGACGCTCTGCACTGCCACGGCCGTCTGCTGCTCACGGGCCAGGCCATCACGAATCGAGGAGGCCTGCAAAGGTGCACACACACACCGCATATTGGAGGCAGACACGGAAATGTTGCGAGGGATTGTCTGTACAGCTTTGGGTGGCGCTGTGCCTGTTGTGGCCTCCTCGAATCTCTTGGCCATTCGCTGGAACTTGAGCACCTCACTCAAGTTGCGCTGACGACGAGCTGCAGTGGATGCACAGCAGCAGCAGAGAGAGAAAGAGAGAGGGAGAGAGACACTCGTGTGTCGGATGTATTCATTCGCTTGTGTACCCCTCTGGAGCAGCACAGTGAGGTTGAGGTTGTTGGCTGAGTTTTCGAACTGTGTTGTCTCCGACTGGGCGATGTCCACCTCTTGTTGAAGCTGATAAACGGGCGCATAGACAGACAACATGCACCTCATCATGTGGTTGCACGCATGCACACCTCCTCGAGCCGCACTGTGCGGTCGCCACACTTGTTCTCCGTCTCCTGAATGGCACCTGGACACATGTATTCATTCAAACAACGGACCAACAGGCTTTGTCAACACAAACATACTTGTGGCAAGTTTGAGGTTCGTCCTGAGTGAGTTAAGCTGTCTCCTCAATGTGGCCTTCATGTGGGGGTCGGCCTTGAGCACACCCGGCCGCTGCACGGGCTCGTACTTGAGCTGAATCACATCCCGCTTGTGGATCACCTGAATGTGCAGTGAAGGCATGAACGGTCGAATGAATGGGCTCAGCCGGCCGCTTACCCGTTCCATGTCGGATATGAGCTGCTCCTGTCTCCTCTTCAGCTGATCCAACCGCAACTCCATCCTGCATACACAAACGCATCAAACGCATCTGTGCACTGTGTGTGTATCTTATGTGTGTCTCCCACCGGTGTATTTCCTTCTTCATGGAGGCCACCTCGGCCTGACCCACATTGGGGTCGAGGGCCTCCTGCATCTCCTTCTCCAACACTATCTTGCGCTCCCATAACATCAACTGGAAAATGGAACGTCACAGAAAGAGACACAGACATTGTGTGCACATGCAGAACCACCACAATACCATGTTGGCGCGTACCTGTTTCTCGGCCTCGACCAGCTCTTGCTGCAGGTTTTCCCTGTCCTCCTTCGAACGCTGATCGACGCACCGACGACCCACACCCATCCGTCCGTCCACCACTCCACATATGTACACATCTACAGACACACCTCTATGGTCTTCTCGATGGCGGTGCATTCCAGCTCCTTGTCCTTGAGTTTGCGCATAAACTCCTTCTCGAGTAGCCCCGTCTGTGAGGTCAGGGTCGCCCCCTGCGTGGTGTGTTTGCTGCCCCGGGCGTTGAGCTTCTCCAGCTCGAGGCGGAGGTTTTTCTCAGCGCCTTGCAGCCCCCGCACCTCCTTCTTAGTGTGCTCCAAAGTGCCCTCCTGACGAACCTTCTGCTGTCGCAGAATGGCCGTCTCGTCCTTCTGGGAAGACACCTGCATCACACCCACACGCGCACACATGCCATGCATTCATCGATGGACAGAAACGCCACTCAAGTCAGCTAGTTACCTTTTTCGCAAGTGAAGATGCGTCGCTTTGCAGGCTGATCAGTTCGGTTTGTTTCTTCATCCACTCCTTCTGCATTTCGCCGCACTCTTTGCTCTTGTCGGCGATCTGCTTGCGGAGATTCTTGATCTTGGCCTCCAACGGACCCGTGCTCTCGTCCTCCTGTCGAGAACGCTTCTCGTCATACTCCCTTCAGCCAGGCACACACGCGCACACCCACCCACACTTCTCTCTCTCTCTCTCTCTCTCTTTGTGTGTGTGTGTGTGTGTGATCACTTGTTGAGACGGTCGACGAACAGCTGTTTCTTCTCAATGTGGTGGTGTCTCTTGCGAATCTCCATCTCATACTGGTCGATGAGCTTCTCGCGGTCAGCAAGGTCGTCCGTTAGCTGCTTCAGCCGGTCCTTCAGCAGCTGATTGTGCGCTCGAGTGTTGAGGGCGTCGACCTTGACGCGCGCAATCTCGTTGCTTAGCGCCGCTAACTCATCCTCCTTGCGGCCGATCTGCTCGTGAATCTTTTTCGCTAACTGCAAGGAAAACACAGGTGTGTGTGTGTTGGCCAAGGGGGTGCTGAAGTGGTTGGCTGACTGACCTTGGCTGTGTTTGAAGCGGATCGGTCGAGTGTTGTTTGCTCTGAGACGATGTCGAAGATCTTCTCGGTCAGCCGGGTGGCCTCGTTGGCCACCTTCTGGATGCTCGCGTCAACCAACTAACACATAGATGCAGAGGAGGAGAGACATGCATGTGTCTGATCGACAGTGACAGACGTGCCTCTTCTCCATTCCATTGCTTACCTGGCCCTGTTGCTCGATGGTGGAGAGGGCTGAGTCGATCTTGGCCGCCTCCTTCTGTGTGTGCATCAAGGACTTCTTCAGCATCGAGTACTGCTCCGCCAGACGCTCCCTGCACAGCACACATCCATCCATCCATCCATCCACAGTGCACACACGTGTCGAGCAGGCTGATTGACGCACCCACCCACCCACCGGTCCTGTTTGATGGTCTGCATCTGTGTGGTGAGGTGGTTCATTTCGTTCTGGTTGCGCTGCAGCAGTGCCGTCAGCTGCTCGTTGCGGTCCTGCTCGCCCCTCGTGGCCGCGTGCACACCGCGGATGTCGCTCTCAATCGCAAACTCGGTCTCCTCCAGCTCCTGCAGGGCCTTCTGGATGTTCTGCAGCGCGTCGTCGCGGCGTTGCATGCCCACAAGGCTGCTGTTCCACTGCTGGAACAGCTGCTGCTTCTCGAACTCGATGCTCTCCATCTCGCGGGCGGCCTCGTTGAGGGTGGCGAGGGCCGCCTCTGTCTCCCGTTTCTGCGCGGCGAGCTGCGCCTCGTGGAGGCCCTTCATCTCTGCGAGTGATCTGATTTGCTCATTCATCTTATCGATGAGGAAGTCCTGCTTCATCTTGTCCTTCTCTATCTTCTGGATAGCGTCCTCAGCCTTGTATGTCGCTCGCCGCGTCACCTGCATACACACATACAGGCCACGGGGCCTCTTGCCTCTCTCTCTCCCCTTGGCAGGCTTAGGTCTCTCAATGTGCGTTAGGTACCTACCTGTATTTCGGCCTTCATCTGCTCATTGAAGTTCTCCACCTGCTGCAGCGTCATGTTGAGCTGGTTGACCTCCTCCTGCGCTTTCTGCAGCCGCTTGATCTGCGTCGTGACCTCGCCCTTCTTGGACTCATACTTGCCGTTGAAGCCCTGCAGGTGTGCCTCGGACGCCTCTCTGCCCTGGCTGGCGGCCGCAAGCACGTCGTGTCGCTGCTCCAGCTCCACCTGCAGCTTGGCCAGCTGCTGCTGCACTGCGTACAGGGTGGTGCCCAGCTCCTGACGCCGCAGCGCCAGCTTCTTGAGCTCCTCCGACTTCTCGCGGACAGAGAGGGTGACGCGGTCATGCTGCCCGGAGAGGTGCTTGTGCAGGGCAGCCTGGACCCGCTCGAGTGCGGGGTGGTCGGCCTTGAGGAAGGGGAACTCATCCTCTTCCTCCTCCTCATCGGCGGCGTCCATGTCCTCGGCCCGCTCCTCCACAACCGGCTCAAGAAGGTCTGCCATAACGATAGCAGCTCGTCGGACAGGCGGCGACGAAGGATGACGGGGATCACAGAGGCGGGTGGGGGCTGTTGAGACTGGGTGGGGGCGAGCGCGCCTGCCAGTGCCAGTGCGCCTGTGTAAGTGGCGGGGGAGGTGTAAGTGCCTCCTTGAAGATTCCGCGCTTCAGTTGTCTCAGTTTGACTTACTGAAGATGGACAATACGAGGGAGGTATACATGCGAATCATCGAGGGTGAGGCAGGCAGGCAGACAGGCAGGCAGACACAGACAGACACAGACACAGACAGACACAGACAGACAAAGAGCTGCACACCTCGCCTGCCTTTGACGTCGTGCATGCCTCTCTCTTCGTCCGGCGGGTGGGATCTCTCAGATACGGTGGAGCGCGTGAAGCGGTCAGGGTCCAAGACGGAGAGCGACCAAGTGCTCGACCAGCTCAAGGAGGTGAGCAGATGACCCGCGCCGTCGCACATCACAACCATTATCACATGCGTGCGTGTTTTCTGTCAGCGCTGGATTGAGGCGGCGATGGATCTTGTCAGCAAAGGCACGCCAGCGGGCGCCCCGCCGTCCGCACAGCCAGCACTCGATGTACGCACAGCACACATCCATACCATAACCACGCGAGACAACCAGATCGTACGATGTGATGTGTACAAGCACATGTGTTGTGCGTGGCTCAGCTGTCCAGGTCTCGTGGAGGTATGGCTGTCCCCCCGCCCGGAGTCCTCAAGATAAAACAAGGTGAGTGAGTGACCAACCAGCAACAACACACGTGGATGGCTCGCTCCACTGTGTGCTGTTCCACTCATGCAGAGCCCGACAATGGCCACATGCCCCAGCCCTCGAAAGTGCCGTACAGCCTCCGCCAGTCGGCGTCGGCCGCGTCATCCTCCCTCACAGACCAACAGCAGCAGCAACAGCAGCAGCAGTTGCCACCGCAGCCACTACAGGCCGAGCACCCGCCAGCGGCCAAGCGTCACAAGCATGAGGGTGGGTTGGGTGACGAGGAGGAGGAGGAGGAGGATGATGGTGTGGAGTGGGAGGACGACGAGGCGCAGGTCAAGAAGGAGGGGGGCGACAATGGCAATGGCAATGGCGACGGTGAGGAGGAGGACGATGACTTGGAGGGAGTCGAGTTTGAGGATGACGACGAAGACGAACAACAAGGTATGACTGTCCGTGGTCGGTGTTTTGGCTGTGGGGAAGTCTCTGTTGTGTGTTTGTGTGTGTGTGTGTGTGTGTGTGTTTCGCCTCTGTAGGAGCAGAGGCGAAACCCTCGTCATCGGCCGCTGCCCCAGCCACCGACAAAGCTGCCACCAAATCGCTCAAGAAGGCTGCTGGTATGACGAGACCGACACACACATATGCCCCCTCAATCAACCACACAGATGGATGTGGTTTGCGTCTATTTCTCTATGCCCGTCACCTCAGTCAAGGAGGATGCGTTGGCGGCTGAGGGCGGTGTGTCTGATCTGGACGACCCCGAGCTGAGCGACGAGGAGCAGAAGCGCCCCGAACCAACTTGTGACGACCTCATCATCGCACAAGTCGAACAGGTACCCACACAGAAGCCATCGCCCACAACACGCGGATCTGTAATCGTGTGTTGGTGTGTGCAGGTGACCCGCCCGAGCCGCAAGGCGGGTTCGTCCAGCGGCAAGTGGAAAGTCAAAGCCAAATTCGGCATCGCGCAGGTGGGAATGTCAACCACCACGGAGCGGAGGGATGGATGGATGGGTTATCGCTGTCTGTATGAATGTCCTGCACGGTGCGTGTGTGTGCAGATCGGCAATGAGGAGGTGCTGTTCAATTCGCTGACAGGGGAATTCAAGTGGTGAGTCCGACTGATTGACTAGACAACGAAGAAGCCCCACGTGGCGGTGTCATGCCACGTGTGTGCCTGGGGGTGCGTGGGGGTGCGTGTGAAGGTTTTATCCGTGTGACGTGTTGCGGGACTGCTGTTTCGTCATCAATTGGACGTATGATAGCTATCGTGGGTGGCATTTAATGTATGGCTGCCTTTGTGACTGCACGTCCGAACAGTTCTCATACCGTCCGTCCGTGCCACAAGCCACGGGCAACCTTGCTGGCCTTGCCACACACGCTCACACAACAACTGCTGCCTATCTTCCAAATTAACGTGAATGAAAGCAAGGGACACGGCCGGCCAGAGGAGCCAGAGTAGAACGGAGACGTCTGAATAGTATTCACAGTCAGTAGGCAGCAAGACAAGCACCACACCCATATCATTCAAACCAACAGATATACATACCTATACAGACACAGACAAGACCGACACACAGCCCGGCCACACCACACCACACATCCCTGCCCTGCCCTGCCCTGCCTGCACCAAGCAAGTATATGCAGGCAGACACGCAGCGCAGCCTGGGTCTTACCTTAAAGCACACACACATCCTATCCGAGTTTTAAACCTCCCAGAGCGCATCCCTCCAGACATCCGTATGTATATTCACACCGTACAGCCAGCCAGCTAGCCGCCGGATGGATTCGTAAGCATCTCTCTCTCTCTCTCACAAATGATGGCAATGCATCCCTCAGTCATCATCGGGCTTGAGTGTTACGCCGAATGTGTCTCTAAGGGCGGCCTCGAGCGTCTCGACGGTCTTCTTGCCGATACCCGGCAAAGCCAACATCTCACCACGCGAATACGTCAGCACGTCGGCCACTGTCATGATGCCAACCTGCATGCGCAGACAGCAGATGTGCATCCAAGGGATCAAGGCGTCGCGTGTGTGTGTGTGGACTTACACACCTTATTCAGAAGTCCCTTGAGTCGCTTGTTGATGGGCAGGTCTGTCACCAGGTTGTTCCTGTAGGCCAGCCGGGCCGCCTCGGCGTCGCTCAGCCCACCACCAAGCTGCTGCCCCACCGTAGGCGTCACAGGGGGTGTTGGTGTGGTGGGAGTGGCAGGTGTGGTGTCGAATGGTGCCCCGAGGTCGCTGATCTCTTCCTGTGTGTATGGGCGGGCCTTCATGGCCTCCTGGAACCACGCTGATGCCTCCTCCTCTGTCACACGCTGAATGCATGGCATGAGATACAGCCATGGTCAGTCACAATACAGACAGAGTGGGGGAGGGAGGGAGGGAGGGTTGTGTGTTGTGGTGTGTTGTGGTGTGGTGACTGATCAACTCCTCACTCACCGGTTTCCTCGTCTTTGGGATTGAGAACTGCTTGCCGCCCGGGGGCTGCTGACCCTCCTCAGTGATCAACTGAATAATGAGTAATACACACACACGCACACACACACACACAAGAGAGAAAGCAACTGCGGTCAGTGTCTCAGCTCATGGAGGTGTAGGTGGGTCGATGGATGGATGGATGCTGTCCGCACCCTCGAGTAGTTCCAGTTTTGTGCCAGTTCCTCGACAGGTGCGTCCCAGTCGACCATGGGCGGCCCGCCGGCGAAGGCCTGTTTGTCGAGCAGCATCGCCCATGCATCCATCTTGGGCTTGATCTCTGCAGACAGACAAAACAAATGACACACACACCCACACCACACACAAACAGACAGACAGACATACAGATGGATGGATACGTGATGCGGCTGTTGATGCGCGTGTGTGTGACCTTCCAGCGCCTTTTCTTCTGCCTCGACGTCGACTGACTCCATCAGCTGCCGGGCCATCTCCAGGAACCACCTAAGCACACAAGAAGGAACCAAACACAGCCCAGCCGTACGTATGATGGATACAAGGGTGTGCTGTGTGGTGTGGTGTGGTGATGGCTATCTGTTTACTTACTGCTGCATTTCGTTGGATGCGTAGAGGAGAATGTCCTTTGGCGTGCAGGAGCCGTCCGACCAGATCTCGCAGCAGATCTCGTCCTTCCAACCCAGGGGCACCATATTGGGCGGATTGGACCTGACGCCGTGACACAAAGACCTTTCCCTCCCTCTCTCTCTCTGTGTGTGTGTGTGTGTCTCGTTGCGTACGTGGCGTCCCATATCTCTCCGTCGAGCTTGTGCACGGTGAATCTGAACCGCCTGCAGGGGGTGAAGACCGCGTCGATGGGGAAGAAACCCTCGTTGGTGACCTCGGCGATGTCCCGCCTTCGTATGCAGATGTTCTCGACGCCGTGCTCCTCCCGGAAGAGGCCCTCGTGGTCGGCCATCCACACCCCACGGCCCCACTCGAGCTTCAAATCCATCTCCAGAGTCTCACCAGGACTGACACATGGAGATCGATGCGATGCGTCATGAACACATTGTTCATGTGTGGCGGAGGGGGGAGGGGAGAGCTACTTGATCATGGCGACGTAGTGTTCAGGGTTGGTGCATTCGACGAAGGGCGGCCAGTCGATCATGCCGGCCGTCACCATGGCCGCGTTGTCGGCCGGTGCAGCAAGCCGCACCACCACACGGCCCTCCTTCCGCGGCTCGCGAGTCGTGAAACAGATCTGACCAAACGTAGAGACACATCGAGGATGGGATTATGCGTAGATCCATCCATGCGTGAGGGGGTGTGTATGCCTCCCTCCACAGATACATACCCCTTTGAGGTTGAGTGATAGTTCGAGTACGTCCTCCTGCGTGGCGTTGAGCGTCTTGTCCTCGTTCATGCTGTGCGGCCGGACAGCAACCACAGCGTGACCGGGGCTGAGCAGCAAGTGACACACGCACACAGACACACACGCACACATGGTTACATACCGTCGTGCTCCCGATGTAGTGAGTGAGCTGGTGGCCGAATGCTTACGCGCGCATCATGGCGGCCCATTTGAGTAGCGGAGCGATGCTCCAGCCCATGGTGCCCACAAACGGGCCCAGGTGCAGCTTCTGGTAGTGCCAACCTGACATTGCATCAAAACCAAAGAGTGTTTGTATCCACGCCCACAACACACGACACCACAGCACAGCACACCACAACTCGCCTGTCTGTGGGACGATGGTGACATTGCTGGACTCCACAAGCACCTGCTCGTCAACATCTGACACATCCATCACAAGCACACGATGAACTGAACAAAGCTCTCCCTCCCTCCCTCCCTCCCTCCCTCCCAACACACAGACGTACTCATTTTCATTCTGTAGTCGCCATATTCCTCCCTCGCACACCAGTAGTTGCCATACGCCCTGTTCCGCCGGTCGGTCATGGGCTCCCACAGCGGGCTCCACACGTACGTGGGCTGCGTGTATCTCTCCTGCAGCTTCTCGTCCCTCTCGATGGTTTTCTCCTCCTCCCACGAGTGGACGCGGAGGAAGGTGCGTGTGTTGTTGAGGTCGTAGCCGGTCTTGTAGGTGTCGCCTGGGGGCGGGAAGAACGACTTGTGCAGACGCTCGTACTGCTTGGGGGGCGTCCAGTCCTGATAGTGTCGATCGACAAATACAGAGAGGGAGAGCGTGCGCATTGAACTGAACCCCTTTCTGCGCGCTGTGTCCGTCCGTGTGTGTGCGTAGGTGAATGCTTACGATTCCTCTGAAGCAGTCCCATTCGTCGAGTTTTCTTCTGGGGTATTCCGGCTCGACGTAGGGCATCCTAGTCTTGGTGACGGTCTCGACACGGTCCCGCGAGAAGTCCCTGAACTTGGTGAAGTGGCCCCTGTTGCGCCAGTGGGTCACCGGCATCCCCTCAAACGCACCTATGCCACACACACACACGCACACACACACACACGCATGTGCTGTTGTCTGCAAGGCTGCCCCGGTCACCCACCCACGCCTCCTCACCCTTTTTGTTTGTGATTTCGATGAGCTCCTTGGCCTCGATAGAGTCGAGGTCGATGGGTTCCCACGCCCTCTCCGCAGGCAGCACCCCCTCGGCTTCCTGCATGATCTCGGCCTTGAGCTTGTCGTATCTGTAGTCGGTCTCGACGATGGGTTTGCTGCCCTCGGTCCGCGCCCACTCGAAGAACTCGTCCTCCCACTTCTCCTTGAGCGTCCTGTCCATCTCAAACTTGATGTTCTCTGTCGGCAAGTCCGACCGCTTCAACATCCGCAGCAACACGCGGCCGCGTGTGGCCGGTGGTGGCGGCCGGTGCAGTGATGGCGTGGCGTGGGGGTGTGGATGTGGGTGGATGAAGGCAGATGAGTGCTGGTGGCGGTGGTTGTGGCTGTGGGTCACGATCCTCCTCCTCCAGCCTTTGAGGTCGTGGCTGCCCATCCATCCATCTGTCGGTGTCGTGCAGCAGCAGAGGCAGATGAACGCAGCAGCAAGCCGAAGACGAGCAGACCGCGATGCCGCAGCTCCCATGCCCCGACGCACGTGGTGCGATGAGTCTGGTGCCGCCTCTGCAGGATCTGTCGTCATTGCCTCAGCACCCTCCTCCTCGTTGTGTGAGTGGCGGTGGGTCAGATCCATTCATCGAAGAAGCAGATATCAGGCTGATCTTGACAACCGAAGCATCACAGAGGTTGCGTGGGGACAAAGAAGCACTCCTGACGCGCGAGGTACGCGAGACGACGTTGAAAAGGGGGAGTGAGAAAGGCAAGGCGATCTACGAGACGCAAAGCACGAGCACGCAGCTAAAACGTGCGGCCTTCCGTCAGGCTGTGTTGTATTTCATCTCTCGGAGATCCATCTGAGATAGGGATGCAACGCCTCGACCTCTTCTATCCGCCCAACCCCGATGACGAGGTGGAATCGCCGCCGGCGTTCCTGCAGGCGGTCCGGCAGCACGGCATCGAAGTTATCAAGACGCCGCCGAGCAGTAACCGTGACTATCCGGCGTCAGTCCGCAGATCTCCTCGGTTCGGCATCGACAGCGACGATGACCACAACACCGAGTGTGAGTCGACTGGCCGCAGATGGGGAGCAGCGCCGCCGCCGGCGAGTCCAGACCGGTTCCTGACTGCGAGGAGGGGCCAGGGAACCACCACCGGCGAGCGGCTGTTTATCAGCGATACCACATCGGTGTCGGAGGGGCCGACGCCCTCGACCACGGCTCGCGGCGTGCAGAGCCAGCAGGCGTGGCAGGACCTCCTGCTGCAGACAGTGGGGACGGTGCAAGAGGACGAGCAGGGCAACGACGATGAGCACGACTCGGATGAGGAGCCCATCCCCTCGCTGAGCATATCGAGTGTGAGCCCTGAGAGCTTAGCGCGGTCTAACTGCGAGCGGCTGGCGATGGACGTCGACCACATGCTCACTCGGCGGTCGGCTGACGGTGGCCTCTCGATGATGATCCCCTTGCCGGGCACGGTACTGAGGACACAGCTGTCGAGGACGCTCGAGAGCAGCCCGCCGAGCGAGGGAGGCAGGGACGGCTCTTCGCCCATGACCTTCCACCACAGGTCGTCGATGCATCAAGGGGGTGGGGTGGGCATTGTGACCACGAGCGACTCTGACAGCCTGGCCTACAGCGAGGAGCCGGTCACTCTAGACGACGTGCAGCCCAGCCCACAGGTGCGGCTCAACTGGCCCGATAGCGTCCTGGCGGAGCTCTCAGACCGGCTCAAGGACGAGATGCAGGCCGATGACGACTTCGATCTGGACCCCCCCACCGACGCAGACCACCTCAAGTCACCCCAGCCGCTCGCTGAGCCAAGACCAGAACCTGATGTGCCTCACGCGGCTTCTCCCATGACAGAGGAGAACCACCACGCCTCCCGAGTTACCACACGGCAGCCCGAGTCCGACCATTCGCCAACTCACGAGTGGTCGCCGCAGGACCACCATTCAGCGACCTCCGCGGCCGACGACGGCTCCCCCCATGACAAGACCCCCAACACGGCCTCGGACACCGTCACGCCCGTCAGCCGGCGGATGCTATGGTGGATCCGGAGCACCCCAGTCAGCCCCTATCACGGCGGGAGCACTCGCGACACGACCTACCGGCAGCAAGACAAGGCCACGCGGCCGTTCTTCCCGTCGATGCGGTCGGAGGCGGGCGCTAAGAAGCGTCGGCGGCGGCGGGTGATGCTGTTTGCGTGTGGGGGGGTGATGGTGCTGCTGCTCACACTTGCCTTGGTCGGGATCTATGGGATACTGCCGGGGGTGGTGCAGAGGTCCCTTGACAAATCGGTGAGTGAGCGGCAGCTGGACAAACACTCGCCGGCCACCGAACCATATTAACTCTCTCTCTCTGTCTGTCTGTCTGTGTGTGTGTGTGATCGATCGGTCAGAGTTTGGTGCTTGATGCCATCTACATCTCCAACCCTTCCCTCAGCGGCAAAGGCGGCTACGGCTTCGATCTGGCCGTCTCAGGCAGCATGCAACGGCCCGAGGGACTCGCGCGGTCCGTCAGGGTCACCACCAAGCCATTCAGGCTCGAGATGTACGGCGTCGTCAGCGAGAACCACTCCCCCCCAATGATACCAGACAACAGCACAAACCGCTCGGGCATCCACGCCGTCTTCGAGGGCCTGGGGGGATCTTCCTCGTCTGATCTGCCGATGGGGTCCTTCGAGGCGCCGCCGATGGTGCTGGAGGGCTCGCCAGCGCCGCTGACGCTCGAGTGTCGCGTGAGGGTCGACGATTCGACGTCGTTCGATGCCTTCACCTACCTGCTGACGGCCAGGCCTGGCGAGCAGGCCGGGAGAGACGGCCTCGGGTGGCGGTTTGTGGGCTCGGAGGGGCTGGACATCAAGGTGGAGCTGCCCTTCGGCGCGATCGACCTGCCGTTCCACATCAACAGCCTCAAATACGAGAGATACCTGCCAAACGATGGTGAGAAGGGAGTGTAGTGTGTGCATCCAATCAACCCCACCACGTACGTCATCTCATCTGTGTGGGTGGGTGTGCTGCACATCACATCAGCCATGGGTGGCTCGCTGGGCGCCGCACTCGCTGCTGATGGCGTCGAGGTGTCTGACCTGGAGCTCAAGGGCAAAGACGACATCGGCAAGGGAGTCGACCTGTCGCTCACCGTCGTCTTCCACAACCCAAGCAAACTCTCCATCGAGACACTCGGCGACGTCCACCTCGCTCTCGCATACAAAGGCTTGCCGATCGGCGAGCTCGTGGCGTCGAGCGCCTCGCTGGAAAGCGGGCGCAACACGTGGCGATTGGAGGGCCGTCTGGAGCCTGCGTCGCGGCTTGCTGACGGGACGGATGGGCGTGCGCTGATGAGCGAGATGGTAACTGCCATTCTCAAGCAGGAGAAGCCCGTCGTCGCCGCGAAGGGCAAACGCTCGTCGCTGCCCATCTTCTCAAGTCAGTGACAGAAACAACACCGATAGACAGACAGACAGACAGGAGGGAGAGGGTGAACGCATTTCACGCCCACTTTTTTGTCTGCTCAGGTGCTGTCAGGGCCCTCGATCTGACTCTGCCCTTCTCCTTCGGTACGTCCGATCTGCTGCAGGCGGGAGCTACGGACGCGAATGCGACAGCCAGGGCCGCGCTGGTCCGGCAGGTGACACTCGTGAGCTTCAACCTGGACCTCGGCTCGGTCATGGGCGTCAGACGGGTGCTGAGCGGGCGGCGGCTGCAGGCCGCGACGCTACCGGTGAGTGGGCAGCTGGAGGCCAGCGTGTCCAATGTCTTCGGCAGCGAGGTGCCCTTCAACGTGACGTCGATTGCGATCTCCACCTTTCTCGAGTTCGACGGGGAGCC